GTACAGAACAAGAATCGTAATTAATTACCTTCCGCTGAAAGCGTCGCAAGTTCCGCCAAAGCACAGCGTTATCCAACTTCATTAAAACACAATATCGATTGTTATACATTCCATCGTTCTCTCAAAAATAGACCTAGTCATGTATGTCTTGAGTCCCATTTATTAAGGACGGAAGTTTAATTTTGATTAATTTTACCACCCAGATTTTCCAGAGCTTGATAAAAGGATCGATTTTCCAACCAGTGGGTTGCTGCCAAAATGCTAGTTTTCTAAGTACAATTTTAATGCCTTTTCGAACGCGAAGCAGCGTTCTGTAACATTCCGGCCTGTCTCAATTAGTTAATACCGTTAAAACAGTTTCATTGTTTTGAATTTTGGGAATCGAGTTAGGCCTTGTTTGGAGATTTCCCTGTAGCCATTTCCCCTCATGGTTATGAAACGGAACTTGAAGACAGCTTCCGTTGCATATGTTGTGAAAGCTCATTGTTTAAATGGGATTAATTGAATAAAGTTGGACAGAGAGAGCTGGAAGATTGACTGTCCTATTTACTCATCAGCTTCCATTATTCGATTTGATTGTTGCAAAATCCTTCTTGCATTAAAATATGCGATGGAAATTCATTACTTGTCTTATAAATCAGTGTTTTAAATCTTCATGAGTTCCCGGTACTTTATTACGTTAAATTCATATTTTAAATTTATTAAAAGAAACGTAATGATGAAAAGGGATCTAAATAAATAAAAATCAATTTTAGGAATTTAGCAGTAAACGCGAAAGCTAGGAAGTTAGCAGGTTTTGAAGAACGAAATTGCAATTGTACCATTGCATTTCGAACTATTGGCGAGCACATGTGTAATACACTGAAAAAAAGAAAGGGAGGAGAAAACATGAAGAAGATACGTTTTTATTAAACACTAATTTCATTTTTACATAAGTGTAAACAAGAATTTCTCTATGGTAAAAGATTTATTATTTTAAGTAAAGTATGCGTTTTTAATTTTTTCATGAATGTAAAGAAGCAAATATTTTTAATTAAATGTTATATTTATTTAAAATATTTGAGAAATCTGCCCACGCACGCTTTGCACACAGCTTAATCTAGTTTCATTTTAATGTTGTTGTTCTCTAACGTTTGAATATGTATTGAAATAATCCACATATATTGTAATTTTTCTTTTTTAAATGTTTTTATGTATGTCTTTTTCTTTTTNTTTTTTTTTTTTAAAAAAAAAAAAAAAAAAAAAAAAAAAAAAAAAAAAAAACTAAAGTAAGAAATTAGCATTTTTTTTAAGCGTAATGTGATATCTTGACTTTGCCGAAATGTATTTTTGCACTCAGAATTCACAGGGGGAAAAATACTTTACATTCGTCGTTGTTTCAGGCATAATTATCATTGTTAAGTATTCGAAACGATTGTTTAAATTGATATCCATTTTTTATTTTCTTATAATTTTTAAAATTCGAATTCTACAATGAGATATTTATTTATTCGAGACTTACGCAAGTTAATTTCCAAATATGCATTACAATTCGTAGGCAGTTTTTTAATTTAAATCCTTTTATAATTATTTCTAATATTTATCTATTTATTTTAAACATTAAAGTCGCGCTTTCTTAAAAAAAAGAGCCTTATCGTTGATTGTATTTGACCGCCTCTAATTTTATTTTCGAAATAAAGTAAATTCAAAATGGTTACAAAAACTTTGTGCCGATTACGAAAGTTTTATTACTTTTCAATTTAGACTAATAGCATCAGCCTTGGACGATAAATGTAGACGTTGCATAATATCCCATGAGGGAATGGGAAATGTAGAAAGAATAAAACATTTATTTCGAATTCAAGAGATGAGAAAAAAAAAAGTAAAGGCTTATTCTTTTTCTTATTAGAAACAACTTATTTCAGAAAATAAAAAAATAAAATACTAGTAGAAAGAAGAGATATCGACTTCTTTTTCCCCTAATGCCGGAGAGTGATGTTTTCCGTTGCTAAGGTGAGCAGGTAGATGATTTGACCTTGAGGCTGCCGTTACGGAAGAACCCTCTCCGTAATACCTGTCCCGTTCTCCTAACGATCGATCTTATGAGTGAAAAATTCCAAATTCTTCTCGTCTGCTTCCATTTTTTAAAAAATAAAAGTTATCGCCTGCCAAATACTGCGGAGCACAAATAAATAAAAATTCTTCGCTTCACTGCAGTTTTCGTACATTGCGCTTTCAATATTTTTAATATTATCGTTTGCAGAATCTGTTCCATGGCGAAAACAAAAAAAGAAGGAATTCTAGAATATGAGCTTTGAATAATACTTAAAAGTGAAAAATTTGCAGAAGAAATCCATTAAGAAAATTTTGAAAGCTTTTTCTTGCATAGCATGTGGTTTTAGAATATCTCATATCGAACCTTCGTGCAAAGTGTGCTAAAAAAACATCACCTTATATTTATTTTTTTTTTTTAAATATCGCTGTAAAATGCATTTGCATGCATGAATGTCAAATAAATACTTTGCTTTTAGTGTATTTTTATGAAATGAAATATTCTGATATTATGTGCCCAGTATTTTACAAGAATAAACCTTTTTTTTTTACTAATTAAATATTCTAACTATAATTAATTTCTTAACTAATTAGTATTTTTCGTGATCAATATTCAAACTAAGAATTATTGCTGCGATTTTCGTCATCCAGAAAAATTATTTCCGTCCCATTATTTACGTTTTATAAAACATTCTTGTTTCAGCTTTTTGCTTCGTAAACCTTACAAAAGGAAAAACGAATGAGCCTATGATAATCATCTTGATAATTTCTTCCAAAATATGCTTTTTGTTGATGTTTCATCTGATGTCTCATATTTTTAATTTGTTTCACATTTAACTGGTAATGTGTATGTACTTCCTTAATTAACAATGCACTTTTGATTTCAAATTGTGTTCGATTTTCTGAAACTTTTTTTATTTTATTTTTCATCAGACTAAAGGCAAGATTATTGATCCCTCTTTATTACCTCTTTAAATAATGATTAGCTCTCCTAAGTTCTTAACCAATCTCGAAAAAGAATCACTACTGATTGCTTTACACAGGCTATACTAGATTGTGGTGATTATTTTTTGTGTAACAAAAGAACAAACAAGAAAAAAAGGAAATTAGTTTAGTTAAGTCTGCTCATCAATTATGTTTTTAACATTTTTCAAACTTTTTGTTTTTTTGTACTGATTTTAGTTTTCCCCCCATTGAAATGACGCTATACAAGCTTAAAAATCACCATCGAATAACTCTAATACATATTGTGATGATTATGTTAAAATGTGGTGTAACTACCACTATAAATATTGAATACCAATTCACTAGTATATAAGACATGTTAACTTGATTCTATCTGGAGGTATCTTTTGATAGATTGGCATGGTCGATATAAACATTTTACCATAATGTTGACCTGTGGACGTGATATGAACTTGCCAACATCAATGGATGGTCCACATTAAACAGTTGATTTGCCTAAAAATATAGTGCTTTAAAATAATAATAATAATTATAATAATAATAACTGGTAAAATGTCTCCCAGCCAAAAAAAAAAAAAAAAAAAAAAAAAAAAAAAAAAAAAAAAAAAAAAAAAAAAAAAAAAAAAAAAAAAAAAAATTTTTTTTTTTTTTTTTTTTTTTTTTTTTTTTTTTTTTTTTTTTTTTTTTTTTTTTTTTTTTTTTTTTTT